GTAAGGGCGCCAGGTACCTCCAAGCCCAGGACCCCCCAGCAACTCCAGCCGCTTGCACGCATCAAATTGGGTTCGCTTTACAAAATGCATCACAATCGGCAGCAGTGTGAGAATGGAAGGTTTTTACGGATGCTTAATTTTTTGTCTCACCACCACACCACGAAAGCAGAGCCTGGTGCAAACACCAGCAATGCCTGGTAGAGAATTTTGCTCTACGTATTTATTCCACCCGAAGAAACCTGACCATTAAATTGCATCACTCCCGAAATGCAGGAGTAAAACATTAAAGAAATGGCTCCTTAATAAACTTTACAAGATGAATATTACCATTTGAGCACTTATGTTAGCCAATTTTAAGTCATATCAGCTTATTACAAAGATTTTCCAAAAAGTATCAGTCTTTATATTTATTTAACTACCTTTGTTTTTCTTGGCATCATACGAGTGTGATACAACTTCATTCTTCCTTTCCATTGGATTGTCTTTCGAAGTACCATCTGTTGCTTAAAATGTTGACCAATTTCTCTGCAAAATGGTCCAACTGCAAACTTGCACGTATGTTGCCCGCCCCAGTGGCTCAGTTGGTTGGAGCGTTTGCCTTCTGATCCAACACCCGTGGCGGGGTGGGTTCGAGCCACTTTACGGCACTCGCTATTTGCCCCTGACAGGTATGGCCTGCGGCCTATGGCAGCGATCGCGCTGAAGGTCAGTTGACGTCAGAGGGCGGGACGGGACCGTGCCGAGCATTGCGACACGTTAAGCTTTCGCCACCATATTCTGCCGTTGACATGGAATTGCGCGATCGGGTGGTAGGGGTCAGGGCTTACACAACAAGCACTGCTTAGCGTGAGCTCTGATCCCTGAAATCCATCCATTCAAAGGGTTCGGATCAATCTTTAAAAACACATAAATTATATTAATTCGCCGGCCGCCCAAACATGTTTGATATGCATAAGTGAACAATTCACAGGTAATGAAGGAGACAATTTGAAGCACGAAACTTATCTGTACCGCCATTTTTGCCCTGCTAAACCCCCGGTTAGCTTGTTTTTGGTTCATGGCGGTGCTCGGTAATGGTAAATCTAAGCCTTTCGAGTGTGTGTCTCACCAGGCTACCTGCCAACGCTGCCTTTATGCTGCCATGTGGAGCTTTGGGACAGACCTGACCAGCTAATACCGAAGTGTTTGATGGCGAAATTTTGCCCTCCGGAGATGTTTATCATGCACACCTCTTTCTTGTTTCGCATTTTAATCTCGCAGGTTGGTGCACGTGATTGATATTTATATTTGGGGGTGAGAGGGATGATTCTGTCTGTCAGAAAACTGTGCAAACTATGGTACTGACTTTTGTTTTGGGGGACCAGGAAGAAGTGTGGTCTGAAAAACCCAGGAAGTCTCCTGTGGACCAAGTAGTTGCTTACCTTACCTGCTTTCAATACACGATTTGTAGCCAGAGTTAGCCAATTTCTGTGCTAATCCATCGAGTTTTGTCATAACACAAACTATGATGCCACAGGACATGCAATGGGCTTATTTTGTTCTATATTCTTGATTATTTGCCCCAAATTTATTGAAGTGGTCCCTTATGACTGCTTGAACCGGATGTTTTCCATAGCTGTCATGGTTTGCTTACTGGCAAATGACTGTACTATATATATGCACTATATTTTAACACTGGGATATTCTAAGCTGTATAGCAATTATAATATGGGGTAAATATCATCATTGAGCAAATAGTCATAGCATCCCATTTAAAATGTGAAGCCAACATCTCAGAATATGCCATTGAATATGAAAAAACAAGCACAAATAGGTGCATTTGCTGCAGCTGAAAAGGCAAGCAGCAAAACTGGCATGGTCATCTAAAATTTATGCCACTTTTGGAGAAGAGCGATTCTTTCGTGGAGCATACCCATTATTGCCATTGACAGAGGTTAGCCATGGCAATCAAAATAAGTTGTTCAAAGTGATTTCAAGTGTTTTCATTTATGTGTTGTCAACTTTGTCTGATGTCGACAAGCATACACAAATAAACTAAATAAAAATGCAAGTTGAAATCAGCCAAAGAATGGGATTTATCGTGTTTTTACCATAAGCGCTGCTGTCAACAAAAGGATGAGTTGACATGATGTTCAACATATGGGCTACTCTAAGTTAGGTTAAGTTAGTGAAGTATATGGCAAGTGACAATAGGATTGTGCACGGATCAGCAACTCACAACGTAATAGAAGTAGCCATCCTGGTTGTTTGATTAATTTTCTAACCCATAGTTTGTAGATGATCTTCTTCCTCACGATTAAATTCCAGTTTTTTTTTACCTGGGCCGCGTTCGATCCGTCGTCCGCACGTTTGTCAGCACCAATAACGGCCCAGTATTCCCACCACGTCCCGTCGTGTGCCTTAAAAGTTACGTAATTTGTGACGTCACGCGCCAGCTGGTGATGATGCCTGAATTTTTTGTCAGCCCGTCGGCATCGAAAGAAAGCGCTACCAAATTAAACATCCCTCTGACCTAGAAGCAGGAGTTTGATTCGGCAGGTCTGGCCTATGCAAGTACGTTAGGTGGGGTAGGGACACTTGATCCTAATTTTAGATTGCGACGTGGGATAAATGAGAAGGGAGTTGGACTAGCAAGAGACGCCATGGAAAGGTGAGTGAAATAGATTGATGTGGTGTGTGGTTCGTTCCCCAGTACATTAACAGCGTCAGAGCAATCATGAAGGATGGAGAACAGGAAAGAAGCGCATCGCGTTTCGGATACGGCCGTCGGTACAAGTGGGAGTTCAATGAAAGAACGGGCCCCATACCAGTAGATGTCGCAATGAAGGATCGAGAGACCTTACTTAGTGTGAAGTCTAGAATAGTTAGTTGAAAGATAAAGGAAAAAAGGACGGTAGCGTCTGTAAAAGTCGGTAAAAAAGCCTTTTCGTCAGCCCACACATCGAATGATCCGTCAACACGCATGACGTCACTCTTACCAGCTGACAATTGTGCAGGCGACAGATGGAACGGCGCCCAAAAAACAGTACATTAAAGCAGCCTGGTGGTTTGCCTGAATTGAAAGTCAAATTACAAATGAAGGGTCATCATTGGGACTGAACTTTTTATACCATCTTTCTATTTTCAAATTGATGGAGACAGTTGTGTAAAAAAAAAACGCTGTGTTATATGAACCAAGTGAAAAATGGCTGAAGGGTTCCAAATTTTCCATTTTACAAGTTCCAATTTTCCTCACAGCATGGAATTAACTGAGACAGACATGACGAAGTTGAGACAGATGTGGTGCAATTTGCATTAACGCTTTCTTGCTTTTGTTAACTCGCCACTTCTTTTCGCGACCGTGCAGTCGTTTTCGCGCTCCGCCGTGACCGCTACCCCTGTTAACGTGGACTGCCTCTGACCCAGGGTAGCGCTAGCTGCACCACAGTATCGTAGGTTGCCTCATTTTAGTGTATTTCTGCCCAAAACATTGAAAACCCTGCCCTAAAATTTATATTTCTCCAGTGCTGCCCCAGCGAGATTTCGTCGAGATCTGCCACTTTCTGCAGACTGGCCCGTCAACAAGTCTGCTGTTACCTGGCACTGTCATAGAAGCTTCTTTCCATCCCAGTGCAAAACAAACAGCCACAACACAGGTAACCACGAGTTTTCATCACAGCATCTTAGCAGGAGGACGAGAAAGCACATGCCATAACACAAAATAACGGTGGCATCGGACTTATCCTGAACTAATCTATCCGCCATACGTTTGGTTCATATCGTTTTGGCTAAGGTGATAGAAATCGGAAAGCACTGAACCGAGGCAAAGGAACAGACTCAGCTGGCTGAACTTTCATCAACTGGCGTTTTTGAAACAGCTAGTTTATAGATAACTGCATTAATGAAAAACCGCAATAACCAAAATTATTCACTGCAGAATCAAGTATGATGACATGCAATATAAATGAGCCTACCACTATTTTAGTTTTCTTGGACGCTGCGTAGATTCGTTGACATTGATGCAGAACCGATAATCAGCTGATCGACCAACACAAGTGACACCACTAAGGTTGTACCAGCATCTGATTTGTGACCTATGTCCCATCCATTTCACATGTTATACGGCGGTGGGATCCGTCCAAATCTGGGTACATCGACAGGCAGTGCACCATTTCATAGAAATTCCCAAGTCTACAGGCCAGAAGGACATGAACAGAGCGTATATAGGACGTGCTGAGTTATTTTAATGTCTTCAAAAGTCAGGGGTATCGGCCCCTTCTGCTTTCGCACAGTGGAGAAAAGCATGCACACGATTACAGCACAGTCACCGCACACACAGCAGGACGTGCGGCAGTAGTGGCAAATCAGCTATCTGGGCTTGGCGTAACAAGTTTGACCTTCAGCTCTCGTCCAAATTGGCGAACAGGCACGCTGGCTTACTCTGGTGCCCATGCGTTAAGACACTGCGCGGCTCGTGAGAACTGCAGCAAAGTTGCATCATTGAATGTAATCAGATTGGTTAAGAAACTTGCTAAGCGTGTTCACTTTTTCGTCACGCAATATCGGGGCTGCTTCGTCGGTTAGCCGCTTTTTCATTAACACAGCACACTTGTTTTCGCACGTGTTTTTTGAAGCATGACACTTGGTGACGCGCCACAATTCCCACAACCTTTCGACCCCGCATTCCTCCGAGGGAGAATTCTTTGCCTGATGATTAAACGTTCATATTCGGCATTCAGAAGCCAAGGCGCCATGACAGGTCACCATACAAGAACAACGGCAGGCACTGGCAGGTAGGAGGCAAGTCCTTGCACCTGTGCGCGACGTCGCGGTATTTAAGCGAGCGTGATCGCGAATGCCGCATCACCCAGCCATGCTCCGCCTCGCAGTCGCCTCGTGTCTCGTGCTGAGCTCGCTTGGCTTCGTCGCCCGATGGTCGGGAAGGGAATCCGGGCTCCCGTACAGTGGCTCCGATATAGCGCTCCCGTACAGCGGCGGCTCCGGCTCGTTTGGATCCCTGATTCCCTTCGGGGAGAGTTCAGAGGGCTCCCTCGTTCCCGTGCCGTTTAACCGCAAGGGCCTGCCTTGAGGGCGGGGAGAATCGCGATGTCTATGAGCTGCCAGTGGGTAGATACCGCTTCTACTCACCTGGGTATCCTAACAACTACCCAGCCAACATCGACTTCACCCTGACGGTGACCGGTGAGCAGGGCCAGCCGATCAGCATCAGCTGTCGCAAGTTCAGCTTGGAGGAACACTCCACATGCCGCTACGACTTCCTCTCCATCAACGGCGACAAGTACTGCGGAGGCAGCAGCATCGCCACGGTCAGCGCTGTTTCGCTCGTCATCCGCTTCAAGTCAGACGCCTGGGTGACCTCCTCCGGCTTCCGCTGCGTGATCACCGTGCCCGACGCTGCGTCAACCACGACGACGACGACCACCACCACCGTCGCGCCCGCCGGCGGCACCTGTTGCGGGGTTGCTTCGCCGGCCAGGGTTGTCGGCGGTGCCGAGGCCACGCCCGGCCAGTACCCGTGGCAGGCGGGCCTGGTGAGCGTGGGCGCCACGCGCACCTTCTGTGGCGGCAGCGTCATCAACAACCGGTACGTGCTGACGGCGGCGCACTGCACCGCTGGCACAACGGCCGGGCAGATCCAGGTGCTGCTTGGTGACCACCAGATCGGCGTCAATGACGGCGAAACGCGCTACTCCGTCAGTCAGATCCTCGACCACCCCAGCTACTCGTCGGCCTTCAGCTCCGGCTTCGACTTCTCGCTGCTGCGGCTGGATCGCGAGATCGCGTTCACCGCACGCGTTGCGCCCGTCTGCCTGCCGGCGGCCGGCCAGACGTACGCCGGAGCCACGGCCATCGCCACCGGGTTCGGCCGCCTTGGCGCCAGCGATCCGCAAGCGACCACCCTGCAGGAGGTCCAGCTGCCCGTCTGGTCGCAAGACAACTGCCGCACCAAGTGGACCAGCCTCCTCGACAACATGATCTGCGCCGGGGGCTACCCCAACGGCGGCAAGTCGGTCTGCATGGGCGACAGCGGCGGCCCGCTGGTCACCAACGTTGACGGCAGGTTTGCGCTTATCGGCGTTGTGTCGTACGGGCAGCCCTGTGCCCACGCCAACGTGCCGGACGTGTTCGCGCGCGTCACGTCTGTGCTGCCGTGGATTGCGCAGAACACGGCTGACGCGCAGACGTGCAATCCGTCGCCAGCAGGCTAGAATTGCGACCGCGCAGAGCGGAGCACAGAACCTCAGCTGACAAAAACTTATCAGAGTGTTTGCCAATAAACTGTGGTGTGGGAATTACGCACACTTTTCGGGTGAGAGTTGAACGGTTAGGAAGCTCGAAAAAGAGAACAGAAGTTACCTGAGTACTCTAAGTGTTTTTATGGACGTCTTGTGGACCAGGGTTCTGCTTTGGTTTGGAACTTCCGTTTTTCAACAAAGCCACTCATACAAAGGTCACACCAAGGTCAAAACCAACATGTTTTATTGCTCTAGGGCTCGCTGTTTGGGGTAGTTTCTGGAACTCCTCTGAATCCATTGATGACATAAACCGCATTAAACATCTTCCATGAACTGACTATAGGTGAGAGTAGCCCACTGAATTAAAATAACTCAGGTCAACATTTTATTTTTATTGAACACACTACTTAGCTTAATGTTTGTCGCGTATTCAGATGCAAAGCTCAAAGCAGTGTTGTACGATTTTGATCACCATGGCCTTCGAAGGGTTAAATAAGGTCGCTGACCTTGAATGAGCATGAAGACTTTTGCTTAGAATAGGTATCTAGGCTCTGGGGCACTTTAGAGACCAACTTGGAGTTTGACATTATTTGATCTTATTAAACCAGAAGGTCATGACCTGGATGGCTTAAACCTTGACCGAAGCGAAATGTCGTACAGATCAACACACCCTGTGAGTTTGGTGTCTCTAGCCATCTTAGCTCTTAAGATCTCAGGGGGTCACACTGACCCCGACCCGAGAGAAGAGTATCCAACCGGCCACCCGGGCGCGTGTTGATGGTGTGGGCTGCTGTTAGCATGATAGTGGGAGCAATGGTTGATAGCATACTGTATTATCTACCATGATTCAACCACAACCTACTTGTTTGTTTGCTTTTTGTTTATGTGCACCTCATGTTGCAATGTGTTTTGCAGACTGAGTGCTTGGATGGCAAGCTGTGAGCGCAAGGACTTACTAAACCAGTCATACCAGTCAGAACCAGTCAGAACCAGTCAGAACCAGTCAGCACCAGTCAGAATCCAACATCAAATCTAGCCCGCGGGTTCGGTCCAGTTCCGCCCATCGTTCTGCTGCAACAACGGCGGATGTTTTGATGGGATATTTTCAAAAAATGGCAATAACGAGGGATCCGTCCATACCCGCTTTCAAGGAATGATGATGCTGATGATACGCTACGATGTAACGTGCGCAGAGTCGTTTAGAAATCAGCGCTTGTTAAAGGGCATGGCCCATAGTGCCACGAGCCGTCCCAGATATTGCTAAAGGTAATGCTCAAACCGTCGTTTTGGAGACACTGCTTCACCGAGTTGTTTTTTCTTGCGACGAGAATGCCTGTACTGCCCACCAGTTCTTGCAGATCCAGGAAGTGTCCTTAAAAATTATAAAGACTTTTCATTTAGCATTCACTCAGCAGGCAAGGTGAAATTAGCTGGAATTCACGTGCTCTAAGGTGAAAGAATTTTCGAGAAAAGAAAAAAAGGAGGAGAGACATTGGGGCATCCCCATTATGCCATCGATCCCAAATATGGATTTGCCTAACCTACCCCGAGATTACGGTTTCCCCAGGAAATTTCAATCCTGCGGTCAGGTAAAAAGCCACGAACAGATATAGCGAATTCGCTGCGATACGTGATGGAGCTGAAACAAGGTCAGAAGAGCTGCAAGTGGGGTTGAGGGGGGGGGGGGGGGTGAGGTGGTATCTGGTCTTTCGCGGAGGGAATTTGACCGAGTACAGGGGCATCTTCCGCCAACGTTTAAAAGTAAAAAGTCATCGGCTACAGGCGTATTGCCATCATGCATCGTCACGCATCAAACCGGAGCGAATCTGCTTGGACTAAGCGACGTGTGGTGAAATGCAACTCCATGCTGTAGAACAAATGGCATGCAGTGGTATGGCACGTGTTTTTTCCACCTGACGCTGGAAGCATCCGGCAAAAGCAGCCACATGGAACAGAAAGGCAGCGTGGCAACGCGTGCCACCACGTGGCATTGAAGTGGAGGAGACTTCGACAGAATGCACACTCACAGACTACAAAAATTCCTTACGTTGTAGTGATGTCGGTGTTCCCAGGGTCAGTCCATCTCCCGCAGCTAACTTTCGGCTTTAAGTTTCCTGGAGAGTTCCCACAATCCTGGCAGCCACTCGCCCTTCCAGCGTAATGTAGTGCACGCTACCGAGTCATAGAATAAAGCACGCTGATCTCCGCCCAAGCAGCCACATGAACGGCGCACACCCAGCCTGAACTCAGTTGTCGCCATGGTAACGCGGATAGCGTCATCGATGCAGCGGGGAGTGAACCGACGCACCGGGAACTGCCATCGTCCAGCCCGCGCCGGCAGTCGCGGTCGTTCGTCGTCGCTGCCGCCTTTAGTCGGTGCGTCGCCCGGTGGTTTACGTAGTCAGTGCGCCGCCAGTTGACATGGGTCACCAGTCACCATGGCGCGTTGTGGTCTGAGTTGTCTGCCTGCGCCGCTCGGTGGCTAGTGCTGCCGGTCGGTGTACCGCCTTATGGCTCATGCCCGAGAAGATGTGTCCACTGGTGACCTGCATCACCAGTTGACATGCGGCTCGGCGGACCGTGCCACATGTCAGTGTGCCGGTTAGTGACCGGCGTTGTCATTCGGCGTACCGCTCGATGACTTGCGCCACTAGCTGGTTAGCCACCTGGTGACTGTGCCACCAGTCAGTATGCCACATGGGAGCCTGCACCGACTGTCGTGTGCGGCCCAGCATCTAAGGCGCTTGGCGTGATGTGACGCCGGGTGATCTTCCTCGTCATTGCGCCGCGCGGTGACCTGTGCCATCCGTCAGCTTGGCACCAGGTGACCTGTAACGTCTGTCTTATGCAGCTTGTAAACTGCGTCGTCGGTCAGCGTGCCATGCGATGACCTGTCTCTGTCGGTGCCCCGCTCTGTACCGTTGTCAGTATGCGTGTCAGCTGCTCAGCCGTCGGGTGCTCCCTGTGCAGTGTCAGTGGGGTGCCATGGTGGCCGGTGTTATTGTGTGTCAGTGTCAGCCTCTGAGCGGCCGGGCGCCCCCGTTGGAGCGTCAGCGGGGCGCCGCGATGGCCAGTGTCAGCGCATGTCAGCCACTGAACCGACAGTTCCCTCAGCGCAGTGTCAGTGCGGTGCTAGCGTGACCCCGTGACCCGACCGCCATGGCTCGGCTGGCCTACTGCACGGACGTGGACCGCTCGGTGGTGCTCTCGAACCTGGAGCGACGAGGCTGGGTGCCAGTCGGACCCGAGGAGGATTGGAACTTCTACTGGTGCGTATACAGACGTCGCCTGGACTGCACCCGCGGGTAGCTTTGCTCGGACTATATCCGCGGGCAGTTTTGCTCGGACTGCACCCGCGGGCAGCTTCACCTGGACTGCTCCCGCGGGCAGTTTCGCCTGGACTGCACCCGCGGGCAGCTTTGCTCGGACTGCACCCACGGGCAGCCTGCAGCGTGGGGCTTCGTATGGGATGGGCCCACAGTCGACTGCCAGCTCAAAAGAGGCACAGGCTGGTCATGTTAGGGAGATTGCATAAGCTCGCAACGCGTGTGATCGTCCCTCGCACAGGTTGGTAATCAGTACTCATTGCTGTAACATAACGGTGAAGTAGTTGTTTACCTTAAACATCATCTTGAAATGGATTTGTAGTCCCAAATTTCCAGCATGTGTACGCAAATGATGAACATGAAATTTCCATGCTTCTTCATCGATACGTAAGCATCTAACGCAGCGATAAGACGTTAGCTTATTTTGAGGTTGTCTTGTACTCTGTAGAGGCAAGTTTTGATCACGAGAGCCCTTAATTTCGGTGTGTCAGACGTCGACGTCTCGAGCCATAATACTTCCTTTAAATGGCTGCGAACTTTTAAGAACAACTTACAGTTATTATCGGCCTCGACGGTATTAAGTCGATGTCATGTTTATAGTGGTGCACTTAACCATCCAGATATTACGGTGCGTGCGATATTGCCTCCCTGTTTCTAGAACGACAGAGGGTTTAAACAAAAAAAAAACTGAACTTCGTCGCCCGAGTCGTCCTCAGCCTCCATAACTACTGTCGAGTATCTCCCGCGTTGTTGGACTTGGGTTGGCCGAAAATACCAGATATGATTACCGAGCGAGACATGATGACAGTGCGAAACATTTTGGCGGACACCCGTGCAACCGAGGTGTCGCACAGACGGGTGGTCGGTCGTGCCCCGCTGTCCTCACGTGTAACTTGGGCCGCAGCTGACGGTATGTTACAACTCCTGCGAGTGCGCCCAAATCCGCGCGCTGATCATCTTTTTCACCTGGTGATCCGCATGTTGAATTCGCTGCTATCAGATGTTCGCTCGTCTTCCACCGTTAGCGCCCTTGCCTTTAAAACAGCCTAGTCGCCTACCTGCACTCGAGATGAATAGATTGCGTCATTTTCATCACCGTGTATAGTGTCCATGTGTTTTTGCTTTCGTGTGCAATTTATGTACCGTGGATGCCGGAAAAATTCTGCTATGCGAGATCCTCAATGCAATCTTATTGTATTGCATCTCTTAAGAATTTGTAATAGAGAGCGGATGCATCCACGCTACATTGTTCTATGCTCGACCTGTTTCGAATAGCCGGCGCATTGACTCGTTGCGTTTTCTGCAGGGCATCGACTAACACCACCCGGAGCTTGTTCAGTGTAGACAGCGGTTATCGAATGGGAGACCATCAGTAAGTCGACGCCTGCATGCGCTGGCCGACCTCACCACAAATGGCTGTTCCAAACAACGCGGCCTATCATGCAGTAATAGAAATGGAGCGTAATTGAATAGCGCATAGTTGCAGTTGTAGCTGTGGTGGGACGGGACGGGTCATAAATGCACTGTGTGGCAGATATGTTGGTTGGCATCTCAAAAGCTCCGCTTATCCGATTATTTTTTATGGTTATGGTTTTTTTCTCAGTCGCTGACTAGCACATAAGGTGAAGCCGAAAGAGAGCGACCGTGTTATGGTTTTATACGACACGTTGAAATCATGCGGTAAACATTTTCCTTTGAAGTGGTCCTGCTGGTCGTTCAAAATGTACTCTCGGCATGCGGATACCACAATGACTTACGATGCCACCTTAATCCTGGGATCAACCTAGGTTTAGGTCACGTCAGGTAAAGCTCAAATCTCTGGGCCTTCCTTGATATACCGCTAGCGTTATTGCGAAAACGCAAACATTGCAATTTTCATATCGTGCGTGGTCAAGGCCATGCTAATCTGTCGTTTGCCTATGAACTCTGTTGACATTACCTTTGCTCCAGAAATACAATTTGACACTTTTCGGCCCAAAGTAGTCCTATCCATATATTTTCACAACCTGGACACATCAATTTAACCTCGTATCACCAACCCAAACAGGTAACTGATACAAGGTACTTTAAGCTGCAGAATCTTGTAAAAGTAGTTGTGAACTTCGAGGCTGGTGCCTGTTTTGCTCAAGTACATAACATAAGGGACCACAAAGGCTGGTCATATCACGTTAACTGGCGATGGTGGCGAAATCGCCGAGGTCGAGTATAGCCGCGTTCTGCAACTGTCTGTCATTTCCCGATGGTATGTGAAGTGCTACGTTTCTTTGATCTGAGTGTTGCTGATGCAATTTGATGTGTTAACAGGATAATGAACCACTTTCCCACCCACTACGAGATCACGCGAAAGGATTTAATGGTGAAGAACGTCAAGCGCTACCGCAAGGACCTTGAGAGAGACGGCAATGTCCTGGGGGAGCGGAACGAACAGGTGAGGACGTCGCCACGTAAGCTGTCGGATGCAGATGCTGGCAATCGTGTTCCGCGTGGACCACAGCAGCGGTTACACAGATCCCATGGTGGTCCCGATTTCTGCTGACAGTGCTCTGTTGTACTTGCCCCAGGGCCGCTATGTCCATCTGGATTTCATCCCCGTGACTTTTATGCTCCCCGCGGATTACAACCTGTTCGTGGAGGAGTTCAGGAAGAACCCGAACAGTACGTGGATCCTGAAGCCGGCGGGCAAGAGCCAAGGAATCGGCATCTTCCTCGTCAACAAGCTGTCGCAGATTAAAAAGTGGTCACGCGACTCGAAGACGCCGTTTAACCCGGCCCTGGTCAAGGATACGTACGTGATCTCCAGGTACGTTACACAAGTCCGTTACAGCTACCCGGATCCAGGTCACAGGCGGCTCTCAAGATGGTTATCATGTAACTATTGCTGTTGATGCCTCGCATTCCGCGGCGAAAAGCCGGGTCCCCTGTATGGATCTGGCTATGATATGATCTGTGTAGCGCATGCCACGAATTCTCCTATACGCTCTGCAGTATACCGCGTTTAGAGTTTTTATATTTACCACACAGGTTACCAAACCTTATTGTGTTCTCTCAATCAAAAAAGAACCAAGGTTTGTCAATGCGAAGCGCTTGCTTCTACGACGATTCTCGAACCATTTTCAGGTACATCGATAACCCGCTTTTGATTGGGGGTAAGAAGTTTGATCTCAGAATATACGTCCTCGTGACATCGTTTCGACCACTGAAGGTCTATCTGTTCAAAATGGGCTTTTGTCGCTTCTGCACCATCAAGTATGACTTGAACACGCAAGAACTGGACAACATGTTTGTTCACCTCACCAACGTTTCCGTACAAAAGCGAGGGGTAAGCATTACACCTGTGGGTGTCATCCGTTTACACACCTGCCAATCATCGCTTTAAAGAGTCCCTGTTAAATCATTGTGTGTTAAGTGTCCCACCTTCCCACCTTGCCAAACATTGTTCATTGTAATACACTGCTTTGGCTTCAAAATTGGATTTGCAAATACAATCCGTGACCATGGGCATTTCATTCGAACAAAAGCTTTCGAGCCACGTATGGCTTGTCCTGCAGGGCGAGTACAACAACATCCACGGCGGCAAGTGGTCGATGGAAAACCTCCGGCTCTTCCTGGAGGGCACCCGCGGGCGCCAGGTCACCGACAAGCTCTTCAACGACATCACCTGGCTGCTGGTGCACTCGCTGAAGGCCATCACACCGGTGATGGTCAGCGATCGGCACTGCTTCGAGTGCTACGGCTACGACATCATCATTGACCAGAACCTGAAGCCGTGGCTTATTGAGGTCAGCGTGACTGCAGGACGAACTGGGGGACGCACGCGAACTGGACGCAGCGACTGTAGCCGACCAATAACTACACGTGAGGTTCGCTTCGGACCTTGTCGTCTCTGTTGTCGGGCTGAACCGTTCGCGGTTAGAGTTGCTTCGTTAACTCCGGAGTTACTCCGTTGACTCCCGCAGCATTGAGAGCCGGCCGACTGCTGCGTCTCGGAGGGCGAGTGGGTTGTTACGCGGGCTCGTGACGTCCGGTGCCGCCCATAGGTTTACTCCGCGGTTTAGTCGACGACCGGCGTACTTTGTCCACCAGACCAGGTGGGACCAACCAGTATTCGGCTAGCATCAATATCCCGCACGCGCCATCTGACCAGGCATTCGACCGCGAACAGAAACCGTAATCAGTTTCCGTATCTGAAGTCGTTGATTACGAAACGTATGACACTATTTGAGAGATTCGGTCAGTCTCCATATCATTGAGGCATCCGCGTCACCGTATATCTTGTATAGTTAAAACGGGGTCCATACCATGCACAACTTGTGATGGAAAACATCCGCAGGCACGTGATATAAAGTCTTAACTAAAGCGTCGATACGAATGTGCCAACTACTTACCTAAGTTAACATCGCCTGTACTCTGGCAGGTAAATGCCTCCCCATCCCTGTCATCGACAACTGCAAACGACAGGATAATGAAGCAAAAGCTCATCGACAACATCATCAAAGTCGTTCTTCCACCGGATGGAATTCCAGAGTAAGATACAGAACACACTCGATCATTCTCCGCTCCGCTCTTTCGGAGCCATTATTGGCGCTCAGTAAGCAGCGTCACACCTGACTGCATCCGGTTTCCCGCAGTGTCCACTGGAACAAGGTGCCCCCGGCCGAGCATCTGACGGACTTTGAGCTGCTGCTGGACGAAGAATTGGCCAGCCACCTGGAGGCTGGCAGTGGGCGCGGCCAAGCGTCCAACCTCCCCAGGTGGCGCTAGTGGCGGCGGTCACACTTCCCATCGAGTCCAGGTGGCGCTCCAGTCGATGCGAGGAGAACTGGGACGGAGACCGAAGGCGTCTCTGTCCAAGAGATGTCTCCCACCACAGCGTCACCAGAGATGTGAAGTGGCGCTCCAGAGACCGGCAGCGAACGGGTCAGCGGAAGCCGTCAGGCTCCTACAAGAGCGTTTGGAGCGTGACGCGGGACGGTTGTGACTGTAATACCCAAAACATCGGCGACAGGGGAGCCTACCGTCACGGCGTTTAAAGGATCGTCGTGCATGACGCATTGACCGCCGTGTGTGACGCACTGACCGCCGCGCATGACGCATTGACCGCCGTGCATGACGCATTGACCACCGTGTTTAACACATTGGTCGCCATGCCTGCGGCACTGGTCGCCTTGCGTTAACAGCTTTGTATGCCGTGTAAGGATGCGATGAGCAAGAGCAGATATCAGCAATGCGCGAAATGCGTAACAAAAATAAAATTCGTAAACAGATGATGCATGCACCCATGTTTTGGGGTCTGGTTTCACGATATGTGCGTGTCAAAAGGTGTTGTAGTCTTAGACTATTGTAGTGCGGACGTCAACAGTTGTCAATGCTGTATGCAAAAAAATTAACATGCAAAATATTAAAAAATATAATAGTATTGTGGTTAAGTTATTTGGGTACTGGTGCTGGCACTGGTATCTTTCTCAGACATTTACTCAACATAAGGCAATGTTTGTATGCGATTGTGAACTGGGTAAACTGGAAAAACACATGTGTTGGTTAGAGAGCAGAAGACGTGTTTTCTGAACGTTTATGGTGCCTTTCGTTGGAGTAATTTATCTCCTTGCATGTTTTTTTCGGGGTTAACATTCGAACTTGAATGGTCTGCAAGGATGCTACGTTTTGTATAGGTTGTCGTCTGACGGCATCTGCAAACGGCGAGCAATGTCATGACATCTTCTCGAGTAAATGAAGACATCCTTGGCGTTTCACGTTTGAGCGGAGCAGTTCCACTTGAGCCCCTGGAAGGTGTTGCACGTAAAATATATGGATATTTTAGGAGCCCTATGGCTATCTAGAGACGTTAGAATTTTCATATTCCTTTCCTCGGAAATGTGGGTTCTAGGGCAACCCCACGGGCCCTGGCACCGTTTAGTGACACTTGACTATCTCCAAAGTCCTTGAGTTAGCTGGCAAGTCACGCTATTTGGCGTGACGTGGCAGCGTAGCGAGGTGCGCTTGACGATGTATGTCACAGCGACTCCTCTAACTGGGCCATAAACCGTTAAGGACTTCTGAATTGTGGGCATATTTCTGGCTTCGGCGAGTTCATGCTTACCTTTCCAGGCGCCCGAATTTGATACCATCTCAATAGCTATAAGTTTTTTTCAAGGCATTCGTTTTCATCTCGCTTTAGTGGCGGGTTACCTGACCGGTTTGGAGCCGTTGGACGTTGACTATTTCGGACTCATGATGACACCGCCAGGTCTATCGCTTTCCGGGAGGCCCTCCAACCGTTACTGCGTTCCCAAATCGCCTCAGGCACCTCAAGCGCAGTTTCACCAAGACGTCTCGAGCACAGTTTTAAGGTACGCTAAGCGGTACCTTAAAACTCTTGCGATTACTAAATCACAATAGATCTGTAATGTAAAACAAAGGTTAAAATTATTACGAGCGGGCATCCTGGAGGACCATTTCGATTTATCGCGGGCTCTTACCTACCTCGGGCACCTGACTGCCCGCGTTCATATTTCCCTTGGTCCTGACCCCGTTACCCTTTTTTAATTCCTGGTCGGTTAAGGGGCTCCGACGCCCCCGTGTCCCTGTTTTTCGTGTGCCTGCTAGCGTCGTGAGCCGCAGACTCCACTTTTTCGTGGCCCAGAATATCCAAGGCTGTGTAATGTACTCCGCACGTACGTGACCCCAGTGCCAACATGCGCCCACGTGTGCACGCGCGTAAGAGGTTAATCCCGGATCTCCGGCCGTGCACGTGGTAAAGCAGCACAGCATGCATCAGTCAAGCCCAGTCAGAAAAATATGACAGTCAGTTAATCTGGTGGATTACAACCCTGCAGAACACAGGCATCCATTCCCTTCCCAGCCACCCGATGACCGGTCTTCGCTGCGCTGGATACGTTACGCTTTCACTTGCGGTTCAACTTTCCGACGATGGACAGCTCCACGCGAACCACGCCGTGATTCATAGCTGGGGGGCTACATCACGGGGGGGGGGGAGAAGCTGGGGGGATGGTGCGCCTCCTGATCTTTGGTTTCCGTCCGCATGCCCAGAGCAATTTTGAAAATGCATTTTCCAATAATAAATAGTTATTTCTGCAAAGTGGTTTGCATCTGTTGAACAGCTTTTTCTTTCATTTCTAGACCATGCTCTGAAGTCAGCGAACTGGCTACCGCGTACATTAGGCTTGACCCAGGTCACCTGACATGGCCGCACCCAACGATGCCTGCGAATGGCTCAGCGTGCCAACAGGTAAACAATTCCATTTTCTCCAATGTCATCGCGAAAGTCGTTTGAAAGGTTGAGGAGAGACCTAAATTGACACACTGTATCCCGCTGGCCTGGTTTGGCTGACCCATGGGAGTCAAAACACGGCTGCTTAACCCGTCGTGCAGGCCATGATTCTTATGCGGGGACAGGTTATATTACTAAGGACTGTGGCCAAGCGCCGCAGAACTTAAGTAATAACTTTACAGGAAAGCCTTGGGGTGAACATGCTCTTGAACCACTAAAATAGCAATAGCAACGATAGCAGTGGTGCCCGCAGGCAGCCCTTTCCACCTCTGCAGTCCGCCTAATAATGAGATCTTATTTATAAAATAGTAGGATGTTCTCGTCGCCAAGACATACCCAGCGAAACATTCACCCGTTATGCAATAGCGAGGACCTAGACTATTCTGGAATTTTGAGTACTTAAAATCTGTTTGTTGATAATGTTAAAATAGTATTAATGAATAAGTATATTATGCACTTCCTTGCGTCAAATTCGAGCATTTAGTGAGGAGTCGAATAGCCAGGGGCATCGTAAGTGGTGGAATGTTAACACTTTCACCAGCAAGTAGTGGCAGACGCTGTCAAACGTATTTGATAAATTGAAGGAAATGTTTCACATTTGAAGATTTTGGAGCGAGCATCAGACATGATGAAGCAAGGCGACTTGTAACTATTGGTATGCTTTTTAAGTGGAAAAGACTGCTCTAGACAGCACAATTCGCTGTTTACTTAATATGCTCCCCAATGCGTCATGGTTTTATTACGTCATCGTATCTTGCGCAGCATTGATAGAGAGCCAATTGGCAGCCGCTATGTCTAAAAATCGCGTTCACGAATGCCAGATGTGAACCCCTCGACAATCATATTTTGTTGGCCTTGATCACCAAATGCCTTATGGCATGGTAGGATTTTAATAACGATAGTATGACGTCATGAATGTCAAGATGGCTTTAAGATACTCTTTCCGAAATATCTTTCCCAATTTTCGCGGGCGTGTAGCTCAGAAACTAGAGGGGCTTTGGTCTTAAGAATGATAGGATTGTGAACAGCACCGCAAGGTCTTCAAGATGGCTTTTTCAGTTCAAAAGTCCATATAAATGTGGAACGCTCCCTTTAACTGGGCGATTAGCACTACCTACCAACATGGCAACATCCATGGCTCGAATATGCCATCTGAAATGCCCAAGATTGCTCTATCAATTAAATGACTTCCAGAAACCACCTTGCTGGCGCAAAGTATTAGGTCATGCGATGTGAAACGCACCGTACGCTACCTGGACACCATAACGTGGGCACGATAATACTAAGCAAGATCGGTTTGAAGGTTTGTAATATGATCAGGTCTAAGAACCGGCCCCACAGGTGATTTGACCCACTTATATGGTATTATTAGAGGGGAAAGCCGCTGTTGACAGTGTGCTGGCATAAAGGCGAAAGGGCAGACCGTAAGGTGTCTTCGCAGAAGTCGCATCGGCTGGCTGCATGCTCCCAACGATTCGGTTGCCTGCACATCGCATCGAGATGACGGAGTTCAAAGCGCTGTAAAGCAAGGTCCTTAAAGGAAGCATCCCATTTTTTGTACTTTTTGCATAGTATTACATCAGACGCGCCTGACTTGATCAGTAATGCAAGCTTTCTCGAAATTCCTGAATAGCTCAGATCTTCTGTTCGAAGTAACCAACCATGCGGGGAAATCTCAATTGACTCGCTGCTCATCACTATAAAAGCAATACATATACACATACATTGTTTTTCCAGCGTGGGTATTCTGCAATGTTTGCAGCATGCCAATGTGTAAAAGTGTTTGTATAATAAATCCTAGGAAAGCTTGTAACACTCTGTTTAGACAAAAATGCATGCGAACGTAAAGCTATTGTCTGGTGGATTCAACAAAACGTTCCACTGTTTTTGATTGCTCTCCATGCCGTTTATCTCAGGAGCTCTTTTTGAGATGGACTTTTGCTTCTGGAATAGGAGTATCACATGTTTCATGTGACGCACTGGTTCAAACTTCAACCAACCAATTTCTCGGTAACAGGCCTTTGTCCGCTGGGTCAATCACAAACGTTCTTATTTAATTATTATGGCGGATGATAACCAATCATAACTGTCCATTCGTGAACTATGATTTAAAAAGTTTGATTCGGGTACTAATGCTAGATCATAATATCCAAGAGAATGTTGTACATTTGAAGAAATTGAAACAAGCATCAGATACGAGGAAGCAAGCTCACACATATCTATTGGTAGACTCATAAGGGGAACAGACCGCTCTAGACAGCAAAATGTCTCTTCGACAATCCTCTTTTGCTTGGCCTTGATCGCCGCATGGCCAACAGGATGGCAGGATATGAGTGACGTTATCTTAACGCCATGGATGCTTGAAAACCTTGACCTGGTTAATTGGTGACCTTGAAATGGTTTGCATGGAATGGCTTCGCGTGCGTGTCGCTCAGGAACTAGAGAGGTTTAATTCTTAAGAATGACAGAGTTGTGAGCTACGCCGAATAATCTTCAAGATGGCTATCTCAGTTCAAAATCCCTTACAAATGTGGAACATTTGCTTTTGAGAAAGCTTCGCCTGCCATGTAAGGGTATTGTAATATTGTATTGATTTTGTTAGCTAGTAAACCTTATGCTGCGGGAGAGTATTTCACTATAAAGCAATGCACCTTCTGAACGGACATGACGTGGTGCTCAGTGAAAACACGTTAACCGCGGCAGCAGATTTGGTACACTATCATGCCACGGACAAATCAGCATATTAATATATCTGCATATGAACTGCGAGCCCCTCTGATTAACATGACAACGTTATGTTATAGTGGCGTGGACCGCGTCATACGTCTTCACGTTTCTCTACTATTCTCCCATCTCTGAATCGCCGTTTTGGGAGTATTTCTGAAAAGTGTGTGTGAAAATACTCCTTATAAATTGAGCATTGCCACGTAAATTCCACTCACTGTAAATTGAGCATACTGAGCGTAAATCTGCATTAGTTAATGGTGATCAAGCAGTGCGTGCTGATTTCGCTACATTGTATGCATATTCAGCAAAGTAATATAGTACAAAACATTTTAAGAGATCATAAAGTGCTTCAGTATGCCCTTGCTCAAACTAGCCATACCACAACCTCACTGTTAAGCAATTTGCTGTTATGAGTTTTGTGCCTGTCCGATTTGGTGTTATCAGTTTAGTGCCTGTCCGATTTGGTGTTATCAGTTTAGTGCCTGTCCGATTTGGTGGTATCAGTTTAGTGCTTGTCCAAAGCTGTAATCGTGACCGAATAACTACCGAATTACGTAAGTCGTTCAGTGCATTCGCGAGCAACATTTTTTGCATGGATAAGACGGTATTAGCCTTATTAACAGACATAGCCTTATTCCTCGGACAAAAACCATGAAAATAGAGA